TACTTTGTGTCTCCGTGGTCCAGGTTCACAGTGAGTTGATGCTGCTGATGAGAATCCCTTCAGGCTCATTAGCATAAATTAAACATGGTGTGAGGAACACCATCTCGCCAGCCATATTTCTTTATTAGCACTCAGTGGAAATGACTCTCACATCCCACACTTATTAGCAGCGTCTCTGAGAGCTACTTCTCTGCTTTCACACTCTCTCTGTCATGTCCACCAACACACTGGCTTCCCAGTGGACACAAGCTTATGGATCCCTCACAAATGTGTGAAATTTCCTGCTTATTTAGTTCTTAACTGACGGTTGTGCAAAGAGATTTGTCTGTGGCTGCCGCGTTAGCTCAGCTCCATATAAATGTTAATGCACGTACGTCACATTTGTCATGAAGAACAGCTTCTCATTCACCAGCTTGTTATCAAGAGCTTCCTATTAAACAATGCCAAGTGGTGTCAGGCTCCAGCCAGGACGGCCTGATTGGATAGGCTTCTTTCCGGCTGTAATGTTGGAAACACTTCAACTGGTGTTATACTGAGTTTTTGGTGCCATATCAGTTTGTGAGGAGACGTGTGGATTACAGTGAAAAGAAGTCCAAAAAAAAGAGTTGTGGATGGAAAAAGACAGGCTCTAACTTTACATTGTCAATTATTCATAGACTCCAGGACTCTTAACAGAAGTGATGTTGTGACCTAAATGTGACCCACCTGTCGCAGAAGTTGTAAAATATGCTTTTCAGCAGCGGTCGGAGAAGCACATCAGATTTCATTAGGAACCCTGGAATTCACTCACATAAATGGCATGTAATTGGTTTTTAATTCTGTCTGTGGTGTGTTAATAAGGTGTATTTAAAGTTACGTTTGTAAACTGCTTTTGTCCAAGCTGTTGATACGCAACACACACAGCACACAAGTTGCACTTAGTTCAATGTGTCACGTACACTTCAACATTTCACACCTTGTCCTGCTCTTGATGCCGATTTCAGGCTGCAGGTTGTCAACAGACTCCTGCTGACTGCTGCCTCCCTCATCTTTAGGAGCTCATACCAAATGTGAACTGAATCACTTCAAAGCAGAGGGCGGGATGAGAGGAATCTGGGATCTGGTTTCCTCACCGTACTTTTCATTCATTGTGTAACTGATTGTAGTAACGTACCTGAGTGAGTGTATATTTTATATCAACATGTTTAGAGTTAAAGTCTCGCTTTGATTGTTCTGTCAAGTTCAGAATAGAATAGAATAGAATAAAACTTTATTGATCCCTTCGGTGTGAAAACTCAGGGAAATTGTTATACTAGAAAAAAACAACACAACACCAACACAAAATCAGCAACAACAGTAAATATTCAACAACAATAGTAAGTTTAGGTGAAACCTACAGCGGCACCCACAACCTCCTGCAGCAGAGGGATGTTTGTGGCTTTTAAAAAAATCTATTTAGTTTCAGGATGAGTTGTATGAATTTCAAGAAGGATCTAGTCCTACTCTTCACCTCATACAGTCTCCTTAATCTGTGATTAATCCTTCCTCAAGCACTTTATCAAAGAGGAGGAAAAGAAGCAAAGGTCAAGGAATCGTTTGGCCATCAAAAAGTTAGCATGTGAGTACAGCGACCCTGCTCAATTGTTAATGCATCACAGTGAGGCAGAGAGCTGTGAAGGTGCAGAGTTTCACTCCTGCAACACCAGTTAGCACACGGTGGTGAGCTCTATCAGGGTGTAACGTGAGAAACACTTGGTCTCTTGAGTTAAACTGACACTCTGGGAGGTCTGTGTGACACAACAGTGATATCAGGCTACATAAATCAGATGTCCACGTCAAGAACAGGCGCAATAGCAGGTCGATGTGGTCAAACCTAATCTGTCTCTGGCTGCAAATCACTGAATTGGAGCTCCAGCTAGAAGTGATGAGTTCATTCCACCGCTTGCTCATCTTAAAGCCTTTTGTGTTTTTGCCGTGTGGGTGCTGCTGAAGTCAGTGCGGTTTGTAACTGAACCTGGGATCTCGGATGTGCTTCCAGCTCCTGCTGTTGTCCCCGCTACACGCCCACCTGCTCCCTGAGGTGCAGTGGTCAGACTGACACATGAGCTGCTGACATGGCGGCTCAGTTTGCACATATCCCTCTCTCCCCGGAGTTATCCTGCCAGGCAACGCCGCTCACGCTCCTCATATCTCATCTGTGTGCACACCTTGTGACTGTTTGCGTTAGCGGCACAACCAAAGCTTTCGCTCGTGAGCTGTTGGGTTGTTTTTCTGTTGTTTTTTTTCCCCGCCCGCCTTTGACACGATGTTTATTCACACCTTTCAGCCCCTGCCATGGCAGCTGGTGTCAGCATACTGAGTGACCTGCCTTACTCCACGGGTGGAGCTCGCAGTGGAGAGATCAGCACAGAGATGGAGACAGGTAGGAGAGCTCTGCAACACAAAAACAACACAGCTGATGCTTGTTATTTGGCAAAGACGTGGCACAGGACCGTAAGCGTCAGGTGTTTTTATTCAGTGCGTTCTTTTGTGAGGGCTTGTGGGCTGGCACTTTGCAGGCCAGTTGCAGCATCCACAGAAAACTCATATTAAGCTCAGTAGTTGTGCACAAAATTGATTCTGAACATGTGTCTTTTGCACTGTTTGTCAACGGAAATTAAAATGACTATATATTGTGTTTAAAGTTGACAAAATGAAAATAATGTACCTCTGATTTGATGAAGGACTCAGCAGGTCTGTTGTCTCACAAGAGTCATTGCTGAAATGTATAAGTAGAAATAAAGCTAATGGTTTGCAGGTTATGAAAGAACAAGAAATGCTTCATAAAAATGTGTAATTTTTCTTTGCATGTTTCTTTGTCCTGGATTAACCATCTTTAATATATACATTTAACTGTTTAATGTAGAACAACTGCAAAGACAGCACCCAGGAAACATTAGTTTAAAAGTCTTTATAAAGCATCTAAACTTAACAGCAAGAATATAACCAAAGTGATAAACAGCCTGCTTATATATTTTTTGTAAGCAGCAATGCCAAACATCTGTCGGCTTCCAATGCGTCACTATTGTGTAAATGTTCAGCTTTTCTCTGTTTTCTATCATTGTAACCTGAATATTTTGGAGTTTTCTACTCTTGGTCAGACAAAGCAAGGTGTAGTCACAATGACAATCAAAATGGGATTTTTTTTTTACATGTCTTTGTCATTTCAGACGTAGGGTGACAAATTTACTCATCGAAATTATAACTTTTAGACGAACTCATTATGGAAATAATTGTTAGTTGCTGTCCTGTTACCCTTTAAATGATAAAACTAAGTAACTAGAAAAGCACCACGGGAATGCAGTCCTCTGCAAAGGCCAGCGTCCTATTTCGCAATTTTAAAGAAATCTGCATTAAAATTCACTGGGTTATCCCTTTGTCTGTGCTCCACCTCTCTGCCAAGTTTTGTGGAATTCAGCCGGGTGGTTTTTGGTAGTTCTTGCTGGAAGAAAAACAGTGAATTCGACAGACGGATCTCAGCTCCATCGCTCAGCTCTGCTTGGCAGAGGAATAGAATTGTTTGGATTTATTGACACTCTGGAGGCTGCATGATGTCTGTGATTTGATAAAGTGTTGAAATAAGGACAATAAGAACATATGAAATGTTCTGTCAGCTCTGTGTGTGTCTTTTTGATGTTTTGAAGATTAGCTTCAGAAAAATCTCCAGAACTGACTCTTAAGACTGCATATTAATTCAGCTCTATGAAAACTGTAGATAAAGCACAAGGCAAAGGATGAACGAGGCAGATTTTTCAGCATATGTTTTTTTCTGCCCATAGCTTGTGCATCCAGTAATCGGCTGCTCTCTGCTGCCTGCTGCTCCCACGCACTGAGAGCCTCAGTGATCCAGCAGTATCGTTTCACCTTTTGGCTTCTGTGTGGTGGTGGACTGGCTGCTCAATTGTTGAGTGGCCTTCAAGCACAATGTCTTTATCTCACTCAGCGCATACAGGTCCTCCTGTTGTTGCCGCTCTTCTGTTGGTGATTGATTTATAGATTAATATAGCTGCTTTTCTCACATATTTACAGTTGTTAAAGAAAGTTTACGTACACTTGTACAGACCAGGTATATCATGGCAGTCTTGAGTTTCCAGTGACTCCTACAACTCTGTATTTTTTATACGATGGAATCACTGAAACGCATGCAAAAAACAATCATGCATTTTGGTTCTTTCATAGATTTATTTTTAATCTTCTGGAAAATTTACAAAACCTGCTGGGTGAAAAATATACATATGGCAACTTGAATTAACAGTTTTAGTGATGCAAAAAGCTGTGTTAATGAGATGTTTTTGAGCTTTAAATGGGCTCCATTTCATACACTGATAACACTCAGAAATATGTTTGGAGGAGAGAAGGTGAGCACCAAGAATACCATACCTACCGTCAAGCACGGTGGTGGCAGTATTATGGTCTGGGATAGAACAGAATAATAAAGAAGAAGGATTACCTCCACATTCTACAGGATGTGGATTATCACCCAAAAAGTTGAGTTTCAGATGCAAGACAATGACCTTAAACACACATCAAAAGTGATAATGAATTACTGAATGAATGCATAATTGGAAAATCTTCAAGGCATAAGGAATATATGGGTTTTGTGTTCATTTGGAAATCAGTTCAAGAACCTCTGTCCAGAACATCTGGACCTTCTGATACTCCCACGTAGAAAGGAACAGGTGGCCATCATACACTTGTTAGGAAAAATTGGGATTAAAATTGTGCAATGTAACAGGTGTATAGTACATCTTATTTAGCCATTCACAGTTTTCACTCTGTCTGCATTGAGCTGGTTATTAATGATCTGGTCAAAAGCAGAAAAAGCTGTGTCATTGTTAACAGCGGCGGATGATGTGTGTTTGGGGGCTGCACCAGATGTACAGCCTTTTTAAACAAACAAGAACAGCATTTTCCTCTTTCAGTCACAAGCCGCCTGCCTCAGATCTGTGCTGTGTGTGTGTGTGTGTGTGTGTGTGTGTGTGTGTGTGTGTGTGTGTGTGTGTGTGTGTGTGTGCGCGCAACATTGGTCCCCATCTACCACCCACTGACGACTTTGGAGATGGTTGTCATGGTGACACTTCAAATGCCGCTGATGAACTGATCAGCAATGGGTGATTGTCGAGCGATGATTCACCGTGGGCACAGAGCCGTTGAGCCAGGAGCCCTTTGTTAGTCGGAGAGTGCATCGGCAGCAGCGCGGCAGCAGAAGCGGCAAGATGCAGCAACACCGAGGACGCCGCTCCTTAGCCGGCGAGATGATGGCCAGCGTGAAGAGGCACGACCGCCGGCACTCCGCCTCGGACGTCCTGCTGAAGGTCCTGCAGCGCAGACGCAGCTCTGCCCTCGAGATCCTCTCCTCCTCCTCCCACAGAGTTATGGTGGCGGTCAGCGTAAACCAGCCTCAGCCCCTCACTGACCGCAAGACCAGGAGATGTAAACACGCCGAAGAAATAACTAGCGCTTTGCATCGAGGGGTTTGATGATGACGACTTAAACTGCAAGAGAAAAACTGTCAAATAAATGCTTGTTTTCTTTTCCTCCCCCAGCCAACGCAAGGGTCCCGACAGCAAAGTACACCAAGATGGGTGAGACCCTGAGGCACGTCATCCCAGGTCACATGCAGTGCTCCATGGCCTGCGGTGGAAAAGCCTGTAAATATGAGAACCCCTCTCGCTGGAGTGATGAGGAGCAAGCCATCAAGGGACTCTACTCGTCCTGGTACGTTCGATTGTCTCACAGTGTTCATGTACTCGTCCTCTCAGAGCTGTACTCGGTCAGCGCGGGTCACTGAAGCCCACAGCGATCGTTACATAAAGAGTCAATACATTTGTTCTGCTTTTTACTGTCGCTGTAACCGTGTCACAGTTTTCAAAATCGAATTCAAGTTAGTCCGTTAGTATGTTTGCAGTTACGTTGAACAGAGGCAGCAACAGATGCAACAATTCCGTGTTAAACAGTCCTAACCAAGCTTTTTCAAGGATGTCCCTGTATACAACACAAATCCTAACTTGTGACTTTCTCCACTTGCAGGATTACTGACAACTTGCTCGCTATGGCAAGGCCTTCCACTGAAATCATAGAGAAATATAATATAATCGAACAGTTTCAAAGGTACAGTCTCTGTCTTTCACACCTTATTTGAATTGAACGTTTTTCTCTCTCATGTTGGTTGTTTGTAGCAGTTAGATTAAGGCTGAAATGTAGAGAGCTTGACGTGTTGACATGTTGTGTCTGGTCAGGTGCGGTTTGAAGACGGTCATTAACCTGCAGCGACCCGGAGAACACGCCAGCTGTGGCAACGCACTGGAGCAGGAGAGCGGTTTCACTTATCGACCCGAAACTTTCATGGAGGCAGGCAGTGAGTTTTCGTAACCACCCAAACACCAACTTGCTGTACTCTCTTCAACACGACCCGAACCGATATGTCATAGTGTGGCTGGAAGACTATGTAAGCGAGGGAATAAAAAAACAAAATCCTGAATATTATCTCTTAATAAACTGTTGAAAAATCAGTGTCTAAGCTTAAAATATTTCATCAACATCACTTTATTCTGCATATCTGATTTAAAAATTAGCAAAGAATATACCATTTGCACCTAAAAAATCTAGAAATTTTGGGTTTGTTGCCCAATTAGTGACAAAAATTCAGAGATTTTTGGCTGGACTGAACTGAACTGCAGGCTGTGTTTGCACAAAAAAGTCACTGATATTAGTAACAGCTGTGGACACTTGTAAAAAATTGGTGCATTTTGATTCCATTTTTTTTATATTTCTGTAAAATAGATATTCAAAGAAATTCAACTGTAGTATTTTCTTTTTTTTTTATGATTTATGACATGTCATACGGCACAGAACGTATTTCTGAGTTGTCTCTTCTAACAGTGGTTGTGCTGCAGTAAAAGAAAGCCACAGTGAATAAAAATGTAGCCACAGCCAATAATCTGAAACTGCTTAAGGTTTAGAGTGATGCAGCACAAAAATAAAAACAATACAATGACAGGACTTTAAAGTGCTAGTTAGTGTTATAATGATATCTCCTTCAATATTAGCTCTCTGGGGACATACATGGTGTGTCCCTTTAAACAGTATGGAGTAAACGCTTGCCTGCAGTGCCTTTATTTTATTTATTTTTGCCCTAGAGTTTGTTCAAATCATCCCATTTTTCATTGTGGTGTTCCTTCTCATGCCGCAGCGACTTCTGTGTTGACACTATCAATTGTTTTCTGATTAGATCCCAATGGAAATGTTCCCTAGCAACAGATTTACAAATTACTGAGGCTTTTACGAAACCTTCTCTAGAATGTATTCATAAGGCTGTTGTGAGACATAGAAACAGACTGAAGGATTTTTTTAAACACCTGGGTTAGAGACGGGTCAGGCTGTATGACTTGATGGTCAAAAGTGGCGTTCTGTGGGGCACATTTAATCTGTTCATTAGCTTTCTACGTGAGACTGAGCAGCAGAAGCAGCTATTAGATGACAGACTAAGGTAGAATTTCTCTCAGCATCATTAGCGTTGTGTTTTGCCGACATGCGGGATGTGATGCGATTCCCTAGTAACCAGGAAATTGCTGAGGGATTCCACTTTTGTTCTGTCTTTGGAGGGTGACAGTCCTGACTTCCTCTTCCTAACAAGCTCTCCTGAGATGTCAAACAAGTCACCTCATCAAGGCATCGGCTGCATTTTGTGCAGCGCTCTCTCTTTCATTTGACGTTCGGGAAAAAGCCTCCGCTGTAAACACCAGCTTGTTATCTCGCTGTCGGTGCTTATCCTACCCTGCTCTTCACACTGTTAAAACTAATCCCATGAAGAGACCAAAACCGGCAATGAACTGAATTTGTACATCATCATATTTACTTTGATCTTCCAGAAACTGTGAAGATGATGGCTGTTATTTGTCTCTGAAGTTGTTTCTAAATAAACTACAGTGTATGAGTTTGTCATAAATGTGATGAACAGCAACTGAGCCCTATGGTACAGAGGAGTAAAGTAAATCAGGCTTGGTCTTTTCATGAGAAGCAGGGAAATATTGAAATATCCTCTTTTTACATGCAAAGAGAGAAATTAAATGTTCGCTTTGTTCTGCCTGCCATTTTTTTTCCTCTTATGCACAAAAAAAAAATGAAATAAATCAAGAAATGTAGTAAAAATGATTTGAGGACGGCTTTTTCTGCAATTCCAGCACCAGTATTGATCACATTGATAATATTGATAACATGAGAGCAAAAGTCATAAAATACGTTTCCTGTTCACATCTAACCGAAATGTCCATAAAATAAAACGTCACTGCGTCAAATACGTAGCCACTCTTCTCAGGTTAAGTCCTGAGCTCCGTCACAGCTACTAAGATATTTTTCTGTTTCGTAAAGTAGCAGTTAGAGTGTCGTCACACATGGACAGCATGGAGAAAATCCAAAATTAACCAGGCTGTTTGTTGTTTGGATTTGAATGAGTTGCTGTTAGGTAAGATTCGTAGCGTAATAGTATGAATTGACTTAGTTACTAGTGCATTACTGTTGTGTTGGTGGATCGGTGGTTAGCACCATCGCCTCGGTTCGCATCCCGGTGAGGACACCCGGGATCTTCCTGCGTGGAGTCTCCATGTTCTCCCCGTGCAGCGTGGGTTCTCTCCGGGTTCTCCGGCTTCCTCCCACAGTCCAGAAACATGCTGAGGTTAATTGGTGATTGTAAATTGTCCGTAGGTGTGAATGTGAGTGTGCTTGGTTGTCTGTCTCTAAGTGTAGCCCTGTGATAGACTGGTTACCTGTCCAGGTGAACCTGCCTTCACCCTGAGTCAGCTGGGATAGGCTCCGCCCCCCATGACCCTGGTGAGGATTAAGCGGTGTATAGATAATGGATGGATGTTGTGTTGGTGGTGCGTTTTGCATCTTTCTGGTTGAACAGAGAACAGTTGAAGAGGTAAATGGTAAGCCTTAGTACATAGTATAAAAGTACATACATACACTGCATTGTACTGTATGAATGCAGCCTGTGTCAGTGGCGTTTGTGCTTTCACTAAGAAATGCTACTAAATTAAGCAGAAGGAAACTATCACAAATCTGCTCACTTGTACAGTTACCTTACTAACATGTAGTACACTAACAATAAAAAATGATTAATTTATAGTTGAAATACATCACACACTTGATGGACAGGAGCAAGATGTAATTTCTGACTTCTTGTGTTTCAGTCTACTACTATAACTTTGGGTGGAAGGACTACGGCGTGGCGTCTCTGACTACAATCCTTGACATGGTGAAAGTCATGTCATTTGCTGTTCAGGAGGGGAAAATGGCTGTCCACTGCCATGCCGGGCTTGGAAGAACAGGTTTGTAGCTGTTGAATTATTTAGAGCCTCAGTTATGCTTTCGTATTGCTAAGTTTCCTGTTTTACATTTTCCTCCATTCAGGCGTGTTGCTGGCTTGTTACTTGGTCTTCACAACTCGGATGAACGCTGATCAGGCCATCCTGTTTGTGCGAGCCAAAAGACCCAACTCCATCCAAACCAGAGGCCAGCTGCTGTGCGTCAGGGAGTTCGCCCAGTTCCTGGTCCCTCTGCGAAGCGTCTTCTCGTGCGCGGAACCCAGAGCGAGCGCCGTCACCTTGTCCCAGTACCTCACCCGGCAGCGACACCTGCTGCACGGCTACGAGGCCCGACAGATGAAGAACGTGCCAAAGATCGTCCAGCTGGTGTGCCGGCTCCTCGTCGACATCGCGGCCAACAGACAGGTCGTGATCGAGGAGGAGTGGCTGGAGATCCCTGACCTCACAGCCGAGGTGGAGAAGACGGTGTCCCAGCAGGCCCTGCAGCAGCTGGGGAAGGAGATGAGAGGGAAAGGGATCCCTGTTTCGCCTTGTTCCTCTCATCCTCTCAGCCCACCAGCACAACAGACCAGACCCGCTCAGGATCAGCCTCTGCCCAGCGACAATGAGCTCGACCCTCTGTGGAGGCAGCAGAATGTAGAAAGCCCACTGAGGTTCTCTTTGTCCGACAACAAGAGACTCAGCTACAGCGATTCAGTCCTTCACATTCTTGGACAACAGCAGCGCTATTTAGGGAGTCTGAAGAGCAACAAACCAATCAACCGCCTGATCAAGCATTCCTTGTCTCACAGCAACCTTACAGCCTGTAACTCTCCTCCATTTTGTGACCTCTTTCCTCAGGACATTGTCAGAAGCTTTCAGGACCCCTATACAGAAGCAAAGCAAGACATTGGACCCCCTGTGTTAACAAGGCCGCTGCAGAAGAGGCATCAGAGTTTGTCTTTAGATCTGTCCGAGCAGGGAAGAAAAGCCCATTGTAATACCGCTCTGCCTGCCTTATCAGCTAAGATTCAACTGGTGGCCAGCGAGGAGGATGTGTCAGCGGGTCAAGGAGATAACAGAGAAGTCACAGAGGTTCCCTTCATCACCCTCCAGCCTGAGCTCTCCCCAGAGAACAGATGTCTACTGGTGGCCAAAGCTCTGGCCATGGATCTGACTGACAAGGATCTGTCCTCCAAGGTGTCCATGTGGCAGGTAGGCCCCACATAACTTACATTTGATTTTGGATTTCCTCAGCGAGATTTCTACTCAAGACGGCTGATTTCTTGGCCACTTCACCAGGTTTCTAATCCAATTTGACAGCAGAGCAGTTGGATATAAGAAAAGGTCATTAAACTTCGCCATATGTAAAACACCCCTCTGATGAAAATGAAACCTTTTACCATATCCATGTGGGCCTTTTTATATACTAGAAAGGATATCACGGGCGAAATAAGCATTCAGTGTTGAGTGGCTGAGCACGACCACCGTGAAACTGCAGTGTTGTATATAGTGTAAAGTAGTTTTAGCTAGTTTTAAGCCGGTGTGCTCCAGCTGCATTGAGTGGAGGAAGAGACACGGATTCTGGAGTTAGCAACAGTCTAGTTCAGGGCTGGGCAATCCTGGTCCTCCAGGGCCAAATCCTGCATGTTTTAGATGTTTCCCTCTTCCAACACACCTGATTCACATGATCAGGATGGTTATCAGGCTCCTGCAGAGCTTGATGATGAGCTGATCATTTCAATCAGGTGTGTTGGAAACATCTAGAACATGCAGGATTTGGCCCTGGAGGACCAGGATTGCCCAGCCCTGCTCTAGAGTAACATCCAAGCCATGGTAAGGCAAAGAGGGAATATTTGTATTGGGGGAAAAACAGAATATATAATTTTTACACACATAATTAAGTTTTTAGTTGTTGAACTAATGATCGTGAAAGAACTATAAAGTCCAACTCTAACTTACACAAGTATTTGTGCACATAGATATTTATTTGGTGATAAGTCTTAAGACTGACATACTGTACAAAATAGAAGAAATACTTCTAACATCCACTTTAAAGTATTTAGTCATAGAGAAAGGAGACAAGCACCACCAGGTGAATGTGCAGCTTTAGCAGGAAGCAACAGGATGTGTACGGATCGGGTTTTATCGTCACGACTGGCACGAGATGCAGCTAATCATCATCTGTGCTGCTGCTTTCGATGACAGTATTGTACAAATAACAGTGAAAACGTAGCACCCAGGGGCTACACGTGTTCTGTTTTAGATGCCAAGCAGTGAAATTAGTACCGTGTTGTTGTGCTGTGTGGAACCCTTGATCATCATGAGAGACTCTGATCTTCACAGTGTGACTGGCAACTTGTTACTTCCTCCAGAGCTGCCAAAGAGGTGCTAGCCATGAGCTTACTCAGCTTTTTAGAATTCTATTTATTCACTGTGTATGCATGACAGTTTTAAGTTCACACAGTGCAATCTTAATTTTGAGCTTCTGTTTGTCAGAGACCTAAGACCACATGCCAAATCGAGAACAGTCAGTGCTCAGCTTTTAGCCCAGACAGTTTTCTTTTCTATTGGCACTGCGCTTCAGTCAGTTCATTGACTTTGTTGTGATGTGCAGACAGAGCTGAACTCCAGAGAGGGGGCGTGGGAGAGGCTGTGCGTGGAGAGAGACCCTCTGGTCCTCTCCAGTCTGATGTGGTCGTGGCTGGAGCAGCTCAAGGATCCAGTCATCAGCCGGGAAGACATAAAAGCCCTCAGTGAGAAGAACGTAAACCCACAGAAGGCCCTCGACTCACTGGAAAAGGTAGCTGTGTTCTTCCAAAACATCTCTGTCTTAAGATTACAGACTTTGTCGCAGCCTGTTTTTTAACTCACTGTCAGATTTATGCTTCCATGTTACAGAGCTGCTGCACCTCTGTTTGTGGTTTTCCTTCAATAATACATTTAAAATTGTGCAATTTTAGTCTTGCTGTCATCTTTAATTTCTGTAATTTTTCTAGCAAGAATATACTTGACACTCACAACAGTCAGACTGCAGTTAGGGAGCGTCAGCTTGCCTGCATTCGGCCGGTGCATGTCGATATTGATCATTGATAATTTTCTGTTTGTTGTGGCCAACAGGCATATCTAATCTAATATTATAGCCAATGCTATCTATCTGGTAAATGCAACAGCGTAAAGAGGGCAATATTTAATAAGTATGTATTTTTAGACTGACAAGTTTTTGCTTCTTTTGCAGCACTAATGTTTTGAGGTTTCTCTAGAAGAAAGAGTGTATGCATTTATTGTAAACGTTCAATTGATGTTATATTTAGTGTGAATATGTGCAGATCTTACCTTCTTTTAACTTTACTGGACTCTCCCCTCATCATTTCTCTGCTACTGCTAATCAAAACGTTATCAAAATTGCAAAATGGCAAGTGCAGTATCTAAATCACAGAATTTTTTGATCAAGGTAATATGTGTCACAACGTACCATCATAAATGAGGCACTGTGGAGCTACAGAGATGCTCCGGCCTGTAAATCACACTCTGTAAGGAGATGTAAGGAACACACTTGTTTGGTTGAGACCACAGCAAAAATCACATTATCAATTCCCACTAAAATTGTTGCCCGTGATACATGATTTTAAAAATTTTTTTGCATATTGTTCAGCTCAGGCCTCAAACGTTCTGTTGATATACAGTGTGACACTATCATTACCTGTAGGCCTTATATAAAGGATGACTGCAGCATCAGTTTCTGGAAAGTGAGCCTTTAAACCTGCGGCCTTTCTAACAGCTAGCATGAGGTGACTCCTCTGGTTGCTAAAAGGCCCTACTCCTCACTGGGTTTGTTATCTCGGTTTCCTTTTTAGGTTTATGGCAACAGTGACTCATTTCAAGTGTTCTTATCATGTACAGTCTCTCATCATACCTCCTCCTCCTCCTCCTCCCACTCACAGGGCCACCGGCTCACTTTGCTGTGTATCCTCGACTGTGCCGCTCATCTCCTGCCAGTGCCTAAACAAGTGGAGACTAGCTTTCTTAACCAAACCATAAAAGTCTTTACTAAGGTGAGTGTGAACACATGTTGAATGTGGGGTTTTCATAGAGATGAAGGTCCTGTTTACACGTAGCAAAAACAGTGATATTTCAATGCGTTTGGGCCTTTGGTTTACACGTAAACGAAGCTACAAACCAAAACAATCATATCTGAAAACTCCGGCCACAGTGGAGATTTGGAAAAACTCCATCTTTACGTTTGCATGTGAACAGGAGGAGACGGAGTTTGATGTCACAGTACAAAAGCGTCATCAGCGTCATATGTGTGTGACCCATGTTTACAGTTTGGCTGCTGTGATAGAAATGGATGCTGTTAAAGCAGTGCTTGTTTTAACGCCACTTTTAGGAGTAGCTCCACTTCTCTGTCGGTTCAAACAAATGACCCTTGTGAGGTTATCATTGAAGTAACAGGAAGCAATTCGTGCCATTTGTTGTTGCATTTTTTCCAGGATTCTGATTGGCTAGCAAGGCTTGATGCTTCTCGTTACACTGCCCCCTATAGGTTTGGCATGCTCATAGCAGCTCTTAACGAGATGTTTATGCGGGTTTGTGTAAACGAACATTCTTTTGAAAATCATCTGGCGTGAACGATGTTACTTTTGTAAATCCGTTTTTGTAAATACCCAGCTATGTGTAACATGGCCTAAGACGTCTCCTTCGCTCTCCAGATTGACCCCGCCTCGGAGACGAACGAAGCCCTGTACGCGACACTGAAAGCAATCCTGACTCCCATTCTGTATGAGCTGCGTGACAAAGCTGTGGAGGAGAGCGAAGACTCCTGATCAGCCTCGACACGACGGGCCCCGACAGGAAGAAGAGTCACCAGCAGGGTTCCACTCTCATTTGTGGGCATTACTGTGTTTTAAGCCACTTCTTTGCACCAGATACTGCTGAGATCTGCCAATCTGTAGTCTTTGAAGCTATTTGATACAAGACTATGTCATTTAAAGATTTAGCATTCTGTATTCCTTTGACGCTCTTAATAGACTCCATGTACTGCCATTCTCTGTGTTAACGTGCCACTGTGCTCAGTTTGAAACTTTTGTCACCTGTTCTACTGTAATATTTGTGAGGGACTAGATGTTGCTTTTATTATCTAACTCTTAGCTGGTAGGATGATGACTAAGGATCGTTTTCATTATGTTAATGTAAGGGATGAGGGAGGGCTCTTATTTAAACCAAAAGATGGCTTTTTTTACACTGTGTAGATGCTACAGTGTGTCTTATTTATTCAGATCTTTTTATTTGAAATGCAGCAATTTGTTTTAATAGTTATAACCTGAGTTGCAAGGTTGCTTCTTTCCTGTAGAATGTAAAGTGTTTTCTTCGAGTCAAAGCTGTGGCTACTGTTATGGCAATGCAAATTCAACAGGCCACATGCTTTTTTTCAATCAATTCTATGTCCTTAATACTGTGTGTACCAAAAAAACGAAACAAAAAAAGTCACTCTTCTGTTCTGTTGTTCATGCATTTGTAAAACATCAATCTGCCTCTCCTGTTGCATTTAGCACAATGCTGTCTGCCTCAACTGAAACTGCCTCTGTCTGTTTGTAACAACGCCTTGCCTCTTTGTATGTGTGTGTCAGTACATGTGTGTGGGTGTGTGTGTATAAATGTGTGTGTTGCTGCTGAGACGAGTCAGCGCGCCGCCTCTCACCTCATGTTGTCTCACATGTGGACACGGTGTAATGCAGATCTGCTGACACGCTGAATGTGGAACGCTGACGTTAATAATATTAAGATGAAGGACATGAGACATTGTACTGTGGGTTTTTTCAACAAACACTAT